CAGGTGAATCTAAATGGTCCTTTTTTCTAGTTTCTAAAACCTAGTCAATAAATCAGACCAGATGATTGAAATGTTAGAAGTAAAAATCTATATTAACCAAATTAGTTTCTAATAATAAATGATGTCTATGTCTACGCTAATTTTTTTTCTCTTGCCACTTCATATATTATTGATTGTGTTTTTGTATATTTCAGATGCTCCTTCAACAACAATGTGTTGCACTGACTTTTGATTCACAAGAAGAAGTCTTCATTACTCTCTAATTAGAACTAGCCATGACATGCTGGTTATGCTTTTTATTTTCTTGGCTGTAAACTGCTTGGTGTCAATTCTCATGTAATTTCATTGATACTGTATCTAATTTATCCAGAACAACTTTTAGATTCTCTGCAATGCATATGTTTCATATTGTCTGCACACCATACCACATTCTATGTCTCTTCTTTTTATTCCAAATTTTATGTTGCCAAAAGTACCCAAATTACGTCGATTTGTTCAATCAAATACCGTCCAAATTCAAACTTACAATCTTAACAAGAAAAATCAAACTATAAAAACTAAACGGCTTAATGCAGGAAAACATCATGATTAAGTTCATAATCAAGTTAAAACGAATTCGGAATCAACTTTAATAAAAAATATCTATTAAGAAAATTATAAGTAGAGTTCTAAATAAACAAGAAACAACTAAACTCATGGTAACAAAAGGAACAAAACAAACAACATTTAGAAGAAACTTTAGACTATCAGATGGATCCTAGGTAGATGATGAGAACTTATAAAAGTAACGCAACCCTACAATAGGGGTAGGGCATGAAGGATCTTGTGTCTTCCATTATAATCTTTCCATGACCAACTAAACAATGTGACGAACTTGACCTCACGATTCGGGATAGTAGCTTTGAGGCCAACAAAGACCACAACTCGTTCATTGTGACGGTAGACACGATTGGGATGCTCCCGTTCACCATGAGAATTGTAGAGATCTCCTTATTGGACAATTGGAGGATGTCTGTATTCGAAAGATATGATGGATCTACTGATCCAGATGAACACATGATCAAGGATATTCATGAATCAAATGGCATTGTATACAAGTGGTGTCATCATGTGTAGAGTCTTCTCCACCTCTTTAAAGGGGTGAGGCCCTAGCTTGGTTTCACTTACTTCCACCAAACTCTATTAACTTCTTCAATCCCTCCATTCAAAATTGAGAGTACAGTTTGCAACAATCCATCTGCATCACTTAACATTGATCGTCCTTGTCAGCATTAAACAAGAGAAGGACAAATCTCTTTGACCTTTCATGGAGCAGTTCAAGAAAGTGGCTTTATAGATAAGGAATCTTAGCACCGAATTCGAAGTAGTCATTCATCACATGATCACCATCTTATACAGGCTGGGCCATTCACGTATAGTCTATGCATGCAACCTAAAAAGAACCTGGACGAGCTTAAGCAACAAAGCAATCAAGTTCATACAAGTCGAAGAAATGAGGAACTTTAGAAAGCAGATGCAAGCATAATCGACACCTAATGACTAGTTTATTCAAGCTCCTACTATTTATCATTGTCAAGTTGCTCAATATGTCCTCTGATACATTAAAATGAATCTTACACAAGGTCTATTTTTCGCTTCCAACATAAAAGAACAAGTCAAATGTTTCAATTATTCTGATTAGGCATCTTGTTCTTATACTTGAAAATCTACCACAAACTACTACATATCTGAGTACCTTCTTATCTCATGAAAGTCAAAAAAGCAAATTATAGTTTTTCACTCTTCTTCATAAGTTGAATATTGGACTCTTGCACCACCACATGTGAATTATAATGGATTCAGTGCCTCCTACAAGACTAATATGCTCAGTTTTTTATAATTATTGTCTTATATTATGATAATCAAACTGTTCATCATATAATTTATAATCCTTTTTTTCATGAAAAAACAAAAACACATACATATTGATATTGAGTGTAATGTTGTTCAAGACAAAGTTCAAGCTAAACTCTTCCATCTTCTTCCTATTAGATCACGTCACCATCTCACTGACATCTTCGTAAAGACTCTTGATCACTTTTCCTCTCCAAATACTATTTACAAGCTTGGAATAATGAGTAGTTGTCATCGAGCTTGAGGGAGACAATTGAAATTATAATTATATTTATTAGTTTTTGTTTATGTTTTATAACAACCTTGTAAAATATAGTGTTTTTTCAATCTATAATAAATAAACAAAAATGTTTTTTTTTCAGTATCTTTGCTTCTCCAAAGTATCATAATAAATCACTTTCAAGGAAGATAAAATACCATTTCCAAATAAGTAAAAACATGCTTTGAATATGGTTTGTTTATATATAACAATAGTTATCGTATATTAATAATCTAGCCATCCATTGTTCTCTTTAAGGTGGATGCAAACTCATATAAGTCAAAGGCGATTTTTTATTTAATTATTTACAGTTTAATCATCAAACAATTTCTACACATTCCATAAAACACTAATTCATATAAGTTGTTTGAAAGTCATAATAATTCTTTCTTAATAAAAATATACTGAATAATGTAACATTGAGCTTAAACATTTATGTTTCATGTATATATTAGTCTAAATCCACCCTTCTTAATTTTTATAATTTTATGAATATAAATTGTATCGTATGATCGTCTAGTGATCTAAGAACGGAAGGGTTCCATATATTAGAAAATTAGTCGGTTAAGAAATGTAAATTAAGGGATTTCACCTCCTAGACCTTAAACATGGTTTAGAACTAAAGACGATTATATTAAACCAAAACATGATCATTACGAGTTAGACCGTGATTAGGCTTACGCTAATCCAAAATTCATTTCAAAATTTATAAATACATATTTGAGATATTGCGATAAACTAATTATATTTAATATTCATTTATTGCTAGATTGCCGAATTTATATTAAGTTTGATATTGGAGTAGGTACCTCCTACAATAGTCTCTAAATTTGATCAAAGGACAAGAGTGAAATAAAGGACGAACATTGAATTGAATTGTATAAGATGCAACATTAAAATAAATCTACGTTCACAATCAAATGATATTTCATTAATAAAAAAAACCACGATAAACAAAGTAAACCATGAAAGCATTAAAAATGGCAAATAATGCACATCACACCATATCTTATTATTAAATTATATAATCTTGTTTCTAACCAAAAAAGTTAATTATTTAACTCTCCATGTTCTTAAGTAAACGTTCTTATGCTAAAGATCAACATCAAGTGACAGTAACCGGAATGGTGATGAATAAAACAACGAAAATAAGGTCGAAATCATCGACAACATGTAACGGTGCATTCGAGGTGTCTATATTCAAGACCAAGTCACTTGAAAGTTTAAATTTTTTATCTCTTAAACTTAAATATAACCGAAGACAAAATGAAAAAAATAAATGGTTTTAGTATAAATTATAAATTAGTTTCATAAACTATCTTAAAGATTTATTGCCTAACATATGTTATTTTAGATATATCTTTTTTCATTTGTGGAGAGTGACGATGGAAGTTATTGTGTTCAAGGCTGATATGTATTCTTTTCCACCTCGTAGTTTGCATAGTTTTTTAATTCGTTGTTGTTTGCAATTAAAAATTATTTATTTCGAATAGTTAAATGTTGTTATTTATTGTTTTATTGATATCATATTAATACTGTTGAAAATTGCTTACACTTGTATACTTATTTGTATAAGTTTATATTTTATTCTATTTTATAATTTTTTTTTCTAGAATATATTTCCTTATTTATTTACCGAAAACAAGAAATATTTATTTTTCATTTTTTTAATGGTTTAACTTCATTTTAACAGGGTTATTTTTCTACGTAATTAAAATATGTGTTAGTGAAGAATGGTGTGTGATCTAAATGATAAATAACTTTATTTACTCATAAATTCAATCTCATATGAATCTAACTTCTTAAATGCATATCATACATCAAGAAATTAATCCTCAACTCCAGAACTTTGAAAAAAAATAGAGTTGTCAAATTAGATTTTTTATATATAAATTATTATCTTTTTAATCAAAGAGAAAAAAATTTATTTCTTCTTTTCATTTCCTGTCCTTAAAACAAGCACACGCGATAGTAAAATCTAAAAAAATAAATATGACTATCATTTACTATCATATCATAAAATAACGATAAAAAGCTATCATTAAATGTTAAAAGATTGTCTAACATGAAGCAAGGTGAAGTGATTGAAGTAATTTCTAAGATAAGTTGTAAACTTATTTTCTTTTAAATACAAAATAACGTACTAACCTTGGCCAAACTACTTGTATTATGTAGTATTACTTGCATACTGAAAAATTATGCAGCACAAATCAATCAAAAAATCATCTAAGAATCAATAATTGTTTTATTCATAAATAGATTAAATTAAAGGAACAACTACGTAAATTAAATATCTCACATTATTATATATATCTAAAATTTTATACGAAAGTATAACATGAAATGTAATATCAAAATAATATATAAAAAGGAAAGTAAAAGTTACTTTTTTAGTCGAAGTGTTGTTTTATTCTCTTTGATTGACTTGTTGATCAATAACTAGAATATGATTTTATAATATATAAAAAATAGAAATTTGTTTAGAGCGTAAAAAACCACAAACAAAAGAAAATAGATTGCTTAAAAAAAAGATAAAAAATAAACTCACTTAAAAAAAATTGTTTGGTTCAAAATATTTCTTAACTCTTCAATTTTACTGTGTATAATTTGATTTTGAAAATAATAAATGAAATTGAGATAAAAAGGAAAAAAATGAGAAAAAGATAGAGTTACGGGAGAGAGAAATCAAAAGAAAGAAGAAAAAGAAATTATTTAAGAAGGCGTGACTGACCTTCCATAATCAGACGACTTTTTAATTATTTCCTTTCTCCCACCTTTGGGTATGTATTGTTGAAAGCTAGAAAATCCTTCAAATGATCTTGGTATCTCTAGGTTTGAACAAGTCACAATGTCATCTGAGATGAGCTGTGTATCAAAACTGGAGAATCAAAAAGATTGCAAAGTTTATTCTCTCTTAGATTTGCCAGAGTGGACCTTGGATTGCATTCTGGAGTGCCTTTCACCGCTGGATTTGCTTAGAGTGGCACAAGTGTGCAGCAGTTTGAGGAACAAAACCAGAAGTGATGCTTTGTGGGAGAAGCTAATCAAGCAGAAATGGAGTAGGCTTGTTGGTGATGTTGCTCACCAAGAGTGGCTGTGGCACACAACAAAAATAAACACACAAAGCCTCTTGTTGTTACAACAGAATCAGAGTGGATTATGTGGTTCTTTCAGTGGTGTTTGGCCTTCTCTAAGCTTCCATTCTTACTTGGAAAATTTCACTGACTTTATTACTTTGTTTCAAAATTGTTCCAAAATGGCTTTGTATATCTGTCTAGAGAGTGGCCGCTTCTGGTTTCCTGTTCAGGTTTACAAGGTTACCCTAATTGATGATCAATATTGATTCTATCTATATATGTCCATTTCTAATTTATATATATCCCTTTTAACTTTCGTTATATCTCATGCATCTATAACTTTGTAGAATGGAAATCAAAACCTATTCTGCTGTGATGCCCTTGTCAGCTATGACCGTAGAACCAACACCTTCCAAGCAAGGTATAGTTTGACTCAATCCTTCACAGTAGGAATGAATTACCACTATTTTGTGACTGTTGTTCACTTTGTAATAAGTTAAATTTCCAATATATACAAGTAACGGTAAATCTGATTGTTTTATCCATTATTAAGTTATTATAGATTTATTTATTAATGTTTAATCTCACATTTTAAATACATGTATTTAAAAGATATAAAAAGTCTATCACAAGAAATAAAACTAATTTACTATAGATTAATGTAAACTTTATCTCACAAATCAATTATTTAAGATTTGAGTCAAATTTAAATTTCACTTGCCACCAATAATCATAGTGTTCTCCAACACAAGTTTTAAGGGTATAAAAAAAGCTAAAACACATGATAGATCAGAATTTTCATATATTCATCTGTTTGTGGACTATGTATTATGGTTTATATTTGACAGGTCTCCAACATGTGGGTGGAACATGATTGAAGGAAATGTTCCATGGGATAGGTTGAGAATGTCACCAGTTGAAACTTCTCCAAGGGCTTTTTATATGTCTAACTGTATGAATGATTTGAAACCTGGAGATCAGATTGAGATTCAAATTAGAAGACGCACAGATTCCCATTATAGTAAGTAATTAATTAATTGATTCATCATATTTTCATTTAAATTTAAGAGTATAGATTCCTTTTTAACATAACAGTTTATTGATATTTAGGAAGAATTTTTATAAAGAACTTTATATGAAAAAAGAAAATTAATTTTTTCATAAGATAAAATTATAAGTAAATTTGTAGAATTCTTTTTCCCACGATTATTTTTTAATTTTTATGTATACTAATTTGAACTTATGACAAATTGTATATTTTTATTTTTTTATTTTTCTATTTTAAAAATTCTCGTAGAAAATTTCTTCCACAAGAAGAAGCACTTCTTATAATTAATCATTTTTGTAATCCATTTTTCTTCAATTTTAAATGAGTCGTATAGATTGGTGGTATGCTGTAATTGGTCATCTGGAAACATGTGAAGAAGATACGAGTCGTCATTGCCACTGCCACTGTAATGGTAAGATTCGTTTCAAAATTTTGATAACTAATATTCAAGATTAATTTTTACACTAATTTAGAACTAATTATAACTTTTTATTAATAATAAATATTATTTTAAATATTAATAATTTTCAATTTATAAAGTAGTATCTGTTGGTATAAGTTATTTTGAACTTTATAAGAATGATTTTTTTTTACTATTTTATTAAAAAAATACATTGTGGTAAGAGTATCTGTTGGTATGTATGTTATATTTAGTATGTTTTGTTTTAATTTTTATAGATGTTGGTGTTGCAGAGATGTTAGTAGTGGAGTTCAAGCAATATCATGCTCAAAGTAGATGGAGAAGATCAGTGTTGAAGAGAAACCTGAACGAGGAACAGGGTTCAAGGCCTCGCTGGTTCGGTGGAATCAGAAAACTTGTTAACGAAGACGAGATTAAAAGGTGGAACAACTTTCTTGCATCTAAATAAATCTACGTCTTCATGGATCAATTCATGCATAGTAGCTTATCATCATAATACCTTACTCAAGATCTCCCACAAGTTAGGGTGCCAAAGATATGCTTATACGATTGCATCTAAATATACTCATTGTATTAAATAACACACCAGAGAAGGACCTGGGTTTTCAAATTGAAGTAATTTTACTAGTATAATTTATAAGATTATTGACATATTTTATTTTTTGTATGATAAAAAATTATAATTTTAATATTATAACTTTAATTATGTTATAGTTTTGTTTTAATTTTTCTAGCAATTATAATAATTGAACATAAGTTTGATCTATATGTATTTATTAAAGGAAGGGAAAATTACCGTATATAATTATTATTGAAGCAATTCATTTTTTTTTTTGTAATTTTAAAATTCTTAGTTGTTCTTTCGAAATTAATTTTATTTAAATTTAAATAAAATTAATAAAATTGTTTTATAATCTAAATGAAAAGAATACATCAATATTCATTATAATGAAATAATTGTTTGTCCTAATATTTGACGTAATTTATTCCTACAGGAGATCTTACATTCAAAAATTTATCAATAATTCTAATATACGTACGAAAAAGTAAGATGATAAGTAATCAATTTCATGAATTAAATTGTATAGACATTAATAAAATATTTAAATTTTTGTATTGAATATAATATTCAATGTACTATGTGTTAATGGGATTCTTTTGTACTCGGAAAACAACTTAAAAGAATGTATTTTCATGGTTAAGAGGACAATGATTAATAGTTTATAAATGAAAAAAGAAAAATTATTAAAAATAGGCATAGTTATCTCGTAAGTTTCATTATGTATTTGTTTACTTCTAGGTATGTAATTAATAAAAAAACTAATTATATCTTTAATTTTTAACAGACTAACAGTATAATATATTTTTTATCCAAAAGATAACAAATAAATAGTAATGATTTTTATTTTGCTATAATGTAATTTATTACAATTTTATAGTGATGATTTATTACACCGTCAACTTCGGTTCCAACCTAAAAGATAGTAACATTATTGTATTTGAATGATTAAAAATTTATTAAACCTTAAAATGGTTGCATTAATGTAATCTATAAAGTTAAAGAATTTTATTGAACTTTTCATTATTTAAGTAAAATATATATTCGACGCAGAATGTTTTTCTAAGTTAAGAACTTTACAAATGGCTCTTTACTTAAAGTAGAAAAAAAATAACCTTCATTATTTTTCTTCCTCTAATTGTAATTTTATGAAATCAACGTTGAAAAAGTACAAGCTTTTCACTAATTACATTCTTACTCTGACACAAGAGGTGTAGAAAGGGACGTACAAGAAAAATAGGAGAAAATGATACAACCACCTTATTTTTATTGGTTTAATGTTTCAATAGGTCCCTATTTTTGTTCAGAATTTGAAATAGGTCCCTTTATTTTTTGGCGTGTCCTTATTTTTGTTAATTTGATGCAAATAAATCCTTTCCGTCAATTTCATCAAACGACATTAATGAATGTGTGAAATGGCCTTACACGTGTCAATACTGTCCTCAGGCCACGTCACACATTCATTAACGCCCTTTGATGAAATTGACAAAAGGGATCTATTTTAAATTCTGAACAAAAATAGGGACCTATTGAGATATTAAACCTATTTTTATTTATAAAAAATTTAGGAGACGTGGAACGGTAGAGGACACGTGACATTACGTATTTAGTATAATCAGTGACAGCACGATTTGCAAGGCATTAGCATGATTCACAAGGCAACAAACCCATTCATTCTCAATCATCATAATTTTAAAGGATGAACAGACTGATACTAAACATTTTTCACCTATAGTCTTCACTCAAGCTTAAGATTTAAAGGGTCTATTGTATCTACTCATCAATACATACTGATTGTAATGAGTGATGGATCGTTTGGGCATACGAAGAAAATTAATTGGTCACTATCAAAATCAACTAAACATCAAATTAATAGTAAGTAATCAAGTTTAAAAGGGATTGCACTGTAATTAAATCGATTCTAATAAAATATTTATGAAAAAAATTATAAATACATATTAAATATATAATTGTTGAAACTTTTATTACGTATTAATTATTTTACAGATAGAATTCGAGTTAACTTTAGCGTCAAATTACTTTTAACATAGAAACCATCGAACCATGGATGAATAGAAAATGAAAAATGACATAGAAACCATCGAAAATTTCTAACGGTGCATTCAAGGTGCCTCCGAATTCAAGACCTAGTCTTTACACTTGAAAAATTACTTTCTGTGTGCCAATTTTAATTATATTTTATCTTTCTTAATTTCAGTAAAATTCAGTGGTTCACACATGTATACGTCCTAAACTACATGGTATTTTTAATATCTTATTTAATTTTAGACGTTTTCATTTGTCATTTTAAAAAGCGTGTGTGAATTACTTTTTTAATCGGTTTGATCAAAATTTGACTTTCCAATTCTTCGTTTTTAATTGTTGCTTCCTTTCCTCCAATTTTGGGTTTGTATGGTGGAAGCTACTAAACCAAAATCTTCCAATTTTTGTATCTTTTAAGTTTTCAGCAAACCAAAATGTCATCTGAGAAGAACTGTGTATCAAAATTGGAGGAGCAAAACGATTGCAAAGTTTATTCTCTCTTAGATTTGCCTGAGTGGACCTTGCTTTGCATTCTTGACTGCCTTTCACCACAGGATTTGTTTAGAGTGGCACAAGTGTGTACCAGTTTGAGGGACAAAACCAGAATTGATGCTTTGTGGGAGAAAGTAATCAAGCAGAAATGGGGTAGGCTGCTTGGTGAAGCTGCTTACCAAGAGTGGCAGTGGCACACAACAAAAATTGCAAACACACAAACCATCTTGTCACTTCAGCAGCAGAATCAGAGTGGATCATGTGGCTCTTTCAGTGGTGTTTGGCCTTTCATAAACTTTCGTTCTTATTTGGAAAATTTCATTGACTTCATTACTTTGTTTAAACATTGTTCAAAAATGGCTTTGTATATCTGTCTTGAAAGTGGTCGCTTCTGGTTTCCTGCTCAAATCTACAAGGTGACCCTAACTAATCATAACTGCTAATATATATGTGTGTGTTTTTTCCTAGTGTATAGGGTAACAATAATTAATGGTTATATACGATGCTTGTAGACTTCAAAGCTATTCTGTTATGATGTCATAGTCGGCTATGACTCTAAAAGAGACACCTTCGAAGCAAGGTAAAGTTCAATCCTTGAGATTAATAGCAGATGTTTGTTTAGTTTGGAGTAAAAGTAATAATCATTTTTCCTTAAAGAAACGTTTTCTACCCTCTTTCTGACAATTATTCTCCAATATTTTTTCCAATAATTCAGTCAAATTTATTGGAAATCACCTATTTTAAGGATTCTCTTAATAGACTCTCTCATGATCTAGATTGAGACTTAATTCATTTTGGTATACAAGAAAGTTCGTCTAATTATTATAAGAAAATATGTTTGAGATAACAGATAGTTTTTCTTTTCTTTAACATAGCTTAATTCTGTAATGTATAAAAATCTAAAGAAATGCAATGATAGCTTAATATGTTGATCTGTTTATGGCATATATGCAATTACAGGTCTCAAACTGGTGGCTGGCGAATGAATGAGCAAAATATTGAGTGGGATATGTTGAGACCACCACCAACTGATACTTCTCCAAGGGAGGTTCATATGTCTAACTGTGTGAATGATTTGAAACCAGGAGATCAAATTGAGATTCAGATGAAAAAGCGCAAAGAATCCCCTTTTTGTAAGTAATTGATAGATTATTTTAACATGTCCTTTAAACATCAATAGAATATCACTATTTCTTATTTAGTATTTTGAGATTGTGAAATAAATGGTTGATGGGATAAAGAAAATGTAAAGATAAAACAATGTGAAAGTAGCAATCGGAAGATTTTGTAGTTATGTTCTTCAAATGATAGTTATATTCTCCACTTTGGACCAATTTTAGAGGGTTAATACACACGTAAGTCTTCACAATGCTAAGATATTGTCTCTCACAAATTTGATTTTGGTATCACTCTAAAAGATTTCTTACTAATGGAGATAACTTATATGTATATAAACACATGTCTATCTTTTGTTTTATCCTATGTGGAACTTTGTTTGTATCATAACAAGATATTTATAAATCATATTTCATCCACATGATTACTCTAGACAATGCTAGCCACTTTTGTAGAATGTTCTAAACGTTTACCTCCTATCTTAGGTTTTTCTTCATTGTTATAGAATTTACATTACATTTTAATACGCCTCCTTGATGCAAATTAGATAACTCTAAAGCTTTTTTCAATTTCAACACTTTACATTTTTGGCGTTTAATCACAAATCCTAGTGGTTAGTCTTTATAGATCTCTTTTTCAAAGAAACCAATGAGGAAAGCAGACTTAACATCTAATTGGTAAATGTTCAATTCATTCTGTGTTGCAAGAGCTATTAGAGATCTTATTGTGTCAAGTCATGTGATTAGAGAAAATGTCTCATTGTAGTTAACTCCTAGTAATTATGAATAACCCTTAGCTACCAACCTTGCCTTATATTTTTTTATGGTATCATCCGGGTTTAACTTTGTCTTGAAGAGTCATTTAACTCTAATAATATCTTTATCTTTTGAACAATATGTTAGTTTCCAAGTGTTGTTTTTCTCTATTATTTTATCTCTTCCTCCATTTTCTTGATCCATTCTTCTTGTTTTGTGCGTCTTCAAAGTTTTTTGGTTTTGTAAATAATAGGATAATTTTTTTTAATGTCCAATAGATAACCGAACATAGTTCTAATACCACTATAAGTATTTTGAGGTTATAAAAGGAATAAAGAAAACATAAAGACAGTAGAATGTAGAAGGAGTAATTGAAAGAAGTATATTTTGTAATTGTGTTATTTAAATATTAAAGTACATAAGTATTTATAAACTCTATTTCACCCGCATACGTAGAATGTTTTAAATGTATTACCTCCTATCATTCTTCAAGAATTTCATTAAGAATTTGACTATGTTTAACAAATTATTAAACATTCCTTATTCTTTGTAATTACTTTTCTTTACTATTTTGAATGAGTAATATAGATTGGTGCTATGCTGTAATTGGTCATCTGGAAACATGCAACCAGAATGTGAATGATTGCCGCTGCCAATATGATGGTAAGCAAGATTCAGCTCAGAAGTTTCTTAAATGCTAAAGTATAAATGAGAGTACATTAATTTCCTTGTAATTTAAAATAATGTTTTTGTGAACTTAATTAATTTTGATGTACATATATTTACCCTTCTTATATATACTTCAAAAGTTGTTTATCTGCTATAGAGGGGTCAAATTCATTGGTGCAATGTTTAACTCTGTTGCAGACAATTTAGTAGTAGAATTCAAGCAATATCCACCAAATAGTAGAAATAAAAGATCAGTGCTGAACAGAAACAGGTATGAGGAACGAGTTTCAATGCTTAGCTGGTTTGGTGGAATCAGAAAACTTGATAAGGAGGAGGAGATTGAAAAGTGGAACAACCTCTTTGCATCTAGATAACTAGATTGTCTTCACCGTTCATATGCATGGACCTATAAATACATATGTTCATAGTACCTTTTTCTCCAAACGTGTAATGCATAATTAGAATTAGAATGTGTTTCTCACATCTTACACTCTCATTGCTCTTCAACTTCTCATTAGTTTTAAACAATGAGGAGAAGAAAAGTCATGTGTGATGAATTTGAAGGGAATTAGCATATGACATGAGATATTCGATATATACACCTTATTGCTTAAGAATGAGTGGTAATGAAATACAGAAAAAAAAAACTAAAGGAAAGAGATTGAAGTCATAAGGAGAGTTTAACAATATCAAGTCCATTTCAAAAATAATAACATATAAATAAAATTAATGAGATAAATAGTCAATTTAGTATAATAAATATTGATATATTTTACTTTTAATATAATAAAAAAATACAGTCTTGATATCAAAATTTTAACTCTATCAAGTTAATTATTTGAACTCAGTTAACATCTAATGTAATTAAACTCGTTTAATTTTTAATAATTCTCTGGTGTTTTTATTAAAATAAAAAATTAATATTTAATATACAATTAATATAAATTATCCTGATATCTGTAATTTATCTTTATTTTCTATTTATTATATTAAACCACTATTTATTCACCAAAGTATTGTTTTTAGTGACTGATAGATAAATGGGTTGAAAGATATTATTAAACTCAATTAAACAAATGTATATTATATATTTACCGTAGATCTTTTTAACTATCTTTTTTCTTTTACTTTTTTCCTCTCTTTCTAATATAAAAGATTATGCATTAATATTTTCAACAGTAACCTTGTTTTGCACGAGAATTACTATTTTTTTTCCTTTTTCTATCACATCAATCCCTTCTCGTTTATAAATACATACATATATATACCGTATAAAATAACTTTATTTTGTATTTATATTTAAGAAAAAAAGTATTGTTTTATTTTACAATTTAGATATTTTAGGGTAGTTTATAAGGTTGGTGGCAATGAATTTAGTTGTGTTTGAAAAGAATGTAAGAGGCCATTTTCCCCCATACATGTGTTGTTGAAAGTGTGGACGCCATTAATCGTGATGTTCTTGATGTTTGTGGGTTGTTTGGTTGTACTAATGGCATCTATCTCCAACTTTTGTTTGTGTTGAAGAAGTCCACGTAACAAACAAACACCATCACTACATTGTCTTAATCTTCTGTTCCTCACTCTATTTATTAGTTGACGCCCATTTATTTCTCGTCTTTCATTGGTTCAAACGTTTTTGTTTGGTGCACAAATAGATTTGACTAAGGGGTACGAGAATGCAACTCACAACATTGGAATGTCCGAAACTCCAACTTTAAATTACATTTATTTTTTTAACTTAATAATAATTTTATTATAACTTTATGAAATTGTAAAATAATCAAATTGTTTTTAATTTTAAAAGAAGGTTTCGATTGTAAAGTTAAAAATTCACTAAGCCACCCTTCAAATAAGGCTTGCGTACAATAAAAAGTAACTTGTGTATAAATTTAATCATATGTTTTTCTTATATGATTTGTTAAATTGTTAGTTTCGACTTTATGCAAGTTAATATAACTTACAAAAATATATTTTTTTTTATGTTTTTTCACTTAAAAAATTCATTTTGAAGAAGGTGGTTGAAAGTAAATGTATCCCAAATCCAACAATGTTACATGGCTCTCTTTACTAAAGTAGAAGCTTTATGAGAATTTGGGAATACATTGGAAGTGGTTGGTTACCTAAGCCAAAGGCATGTAGGATTCATTATTCTATAAGACACTGATTAAGAATCATTAATAGTTACTAATACTTTTTTGTTTTGGTGGTGTACATGCTCATAATGGAAGGTTTAATCATCAAAATTACATAAATAGGTTATTACGTGCCTTGTGTAAGCACTTAAAACGGTTTTCCTAATTAATAATAATAAAGTATTAATTAGAAGTGGAGATGCTTTTTGAGAGTGAAGTGTGACGACCCATTTTGCTTATGTTTCCAATTAAATAAATTATTTTTCATTAGAAGATACCTTTGCTTACTTGAGTTTGGGTATAAGAAAAAATAATTTTTACAAATATATAGAATACGTGAGTGGACCAAAACAATATATTTTTCTTTTCTGAGCAAGACGACTCAAATTTCTTTTTGTCTCACTACCTGAAAAAACAATGTACAACATCATCAAGAAACAATACCCTAAAAAATAACAACCTTTTTACGCTCACATTTATTCATTAAGCATAAACCTGTATACTAGAAGATTTAATTAAAATATATCATAAAGAATTTACAAAGAAGTTAATAACCAATGTTGGTTTTTCATATTATTTCAAATCATTCACTTCTATAATAACTACTTTTAAGAAATTAAGATATTATGGTATAAGTTAACAAAATAAACATTTTTACACTAAAAATAAGAAAATGATTGTTTTTCTTATTCATTATATTAACAATCATGCAAATTCACAACTAAAAGATAGAGAATCCTCTTGTAAAATGCATTTAATGAGAAGAAAGAAAGTTATGTTTTGGGGACTTTCTTTTCAACGTTATCTTACATGTGGATTCCATCTCAATATAAAAGGATGACATCACCATCATACAAATTCTATAAGGTGTTGGTAGGTTACATGCTAGTGTGTAAGATGGCCTACTTGGCTTTTACATTTCATATAATAATATGAATGACTCAAAGATTTGGTGCATCAAAATCAAATATTGGTTTCTTCTTTAAGATGGTTTTCTTTCTTCCCCAAACTCTTGGCTACCCCACCAAGTTCTACCTTATTTTACAAATTTCCCCTATATGCTATTTTATATAACTATTTTAGTTTATTCCACAAAGTTGTCTTTCATGATATTATAGAACTAGTAAGTAATTTTAACAACCTTATGTGGAAAAATGCCCTAGAGAATATAATAGGGGAAAACCATCATCGTATATATATACTATAAGATTTGTTCAATTTATATCACTTAGGTTATATATATTTTTGACTTTTTCTTCATTTACTTTTTCCATCAAACTTGGACCTCATACTTTAGTTTTGCTAAGAGGTGATGCATAATATTGCAAAAAATGTATGAGTTTCTCACGTAACATAAATTGAAATTGAAACATTATAATATAAAACATTTTTTTGGCATATAGAATTCTGGATGAAAAGGTTGTTGGCCTAATGGAAGGTTAGAGAAGTAATTAAGAAGATAAACTTAGTTGAGAAAGAACAAAAAGTTGGTGACCATGCTAATCAAAGAAAAATAAAATATTAAATTCAACAACGGATAAAATGAACTTCGATTCATTGGGTCTCTTCTTATACCTGCTTTTCTCACATCAAATTATTGTCTCTCAGGTCTATTTTTATAAGTTGCCATCAGCTATAGTTTACTTAATTTAAATTTTGTGTCAAGGTTATTTTATTAGATTAAGTATTAAAATATTTTATTCATATTCACGTATCATATAAACTGGTTGGAAAGAGTTGCTCCATATCTCTATATTTTTAAAGAAAATAAAAAAATAATAACAGTCACATAAAAAAAATTAGTAGTGTTATATATCATATTCTGGAACGATGTAATGATGCTGTGTTGATAAAGTGTGTACAATTCGTCTTGATATATAATTATATAAGTAGTTTATATTCATTTTTTTAATTTTAAAATATAATTAAAATATAAAATATATACATTAAATACAAAAATTCATTATATATTGTTTTGTTACATCTTACCATTCCTAATTAAAAAATAGAAATGTCATTTTTTTTTCTCAATTGAAGGGTGAAATCTCGTTTCCCCATCGTTTTTCAATCTCTTTCTTTATTTTATAATAAAATACCCAATTAACTAATCATGCAAATACGAAGTCATTCGATATACATGGACTCTGTTTTTATTAGTATATATTTTGTTAGTTTTCTTCTGTTCTTTTGTTTTATAGTTAGTTTTATTTTCTGTTCTTTTATAGACCCGTGTAATTCAGATTCTGTGGTAAGTAATAAAGTCTTTTCTTTGTTTTTATTGTCTCTACAAGTTAAAAAAAAATAAACTGAGGTTGAAGAAAAAATAATAAATATTTTTAAGTTTATAATTTGGTTATGAATAAAATTAATATGAAAAATTATTTATAAGTTTAGAAAGTTAATATGTATGTAAAAGTATAATAAGTAAATTTTGTAAAAATACAAAGAATAAAATATATGTAAAAATACAGAGTACATACAGACTCATCTACTCAGTATATAGACAAACTTGTTTAATGCATATTACAAGACTTGTTTAATGCATATTACAACACTCGTCTAATCAGAGAATTGATAGTCTAATGTGTTTTAATAAACTCATATAATATCCGTATAAACAAACTAGTCTAATCGTCTAATTAATGTACAGACAAATTTGTCTAATGTGTATTCTTAGACTCATCTAATCAATGTATGAAGTGACTCATGATATTTTTGTTATACTCAATATATGGGCATACTCATCCAATATGTATTGTTAGAGTCGTCTAATGTTTTTCGCTACTAATTTAACTAGTGTATGAACAAACTTGTATATTAATGTGTATTGTAATATTCATATAATCAGTAAATGAGCAAACTTGTCTAATATGTATTAATATAGACTCGCATAATTTGTGTGTGAAAAGAATTATCTAATTATATTGTTAGATTTGTCCAGTCAATACATCGACAAACTCATCTAATATTTTTTACTTTACTAAATGTATTCCTTTACAAAATAAAATGGATAATAAAATAAATTTTCTAGTATCTTCTTTTTATATTATAATAGATTATTTTTTATTAATATTTATTTATTATCTCTTGTTAAATTTATCTAACAAATATTATTTAATAATTTATTAAATGATCGATTAATTAGAAATTATAAAAAGCATAAAATTAACAATTAAAAAGAAAAGTAGTATAAAAATATTAAAAATGAAAAAAACAGTATAGAAAAATCGTACTAAAAAATTAACT